TCCCTTGGTTTTGGGAGTAGCTCACAGAAGGAGGGTGTGGAACAAACAGGCTGGCCAGATGGGGATGGCTGCTGAGGTCTCAGGAACAGGGTGATGGAGCCAAGGAGAGGCCGGCCCACAGCACATTCCAGAGTGCTCCAAAAGCAGATGCTGAGTCACAGCCAAGCCAAGCCAAGGTGACAGCCCACACCTCCAGGGGACTGCAGTTTTCCCCTCTTGGTCTGTATTACTCATACACACTCAGACCAACCTCCCCCAAAATACCTCAGAGGACTGGTTGCTACTTGTGGAGACAGCTCAGAACAGCACAGATTTCGGAAAACTCTGGCTTCCAATCCAAGTCGTATCACTTACCAGCCCGTGAGGTGAGGCATGTCAAAAACTGTCCTAACCTCGGGCGCCTGGGGGGCTCAGTGGGTTAAGCCGCTGCCTTCGGCTCGGGTCATGATCTCAGGGTCCTGGGTTCGAGTCCCGCATTAGGCTATCTGCTCAGCAGGGAGCCTGCTTCTCTCTCTCTCTCTCTCTCTGCCTACTTGTGGTCTCTGTCTGTCAAATAAATAAAATAAATAAAATCTTAAAAAAAAAAAAATTCTCCTAACCTCATCTTCCACCATTTTCCATGAATGGGGAACACACCTGCCTGGCCTCAAAGGAGAGATAATCCAACGCTTTTAAGATAAACTGGCCTGGGGACACCTGGCTGGCTCAGTCAGCGGAGCAAGTCGTGATCTCAGGGTTACAGGTTTGAGGGCAAACTTGGGTATAGAAATTACTTCCAAAAAAATAAAAAAAGAGAGAGAGAGAGAGAGAAATCTTTTAAAAATAAATAAATAAACTGGCTTGGTGGTGAAAGTGGTTTAAGCAAGTTTTAACTGTAAATACCAAGAGACTTTCTCTCAGGTATCTTCATATCCCAACTTCTCCTCAAAAGCACTTAATATAGGATGCCTGGGTGGCTCAGTCAGCTAAGCGTCTGCCTTCAGCTCAAATGATCCCGGGGTCCTGGGATTGAGCCCCATGTGACATCGGGCTCCCCCCACTCCATGCTCCCTCTTTCTCTCTCTCTCAAATAAGTAAAATCTTAAAAAAAAAACCCACTTAATACAGTATTCTGCACAATGACATTCATTTATCAAGTACCTACTTAGTACATATTAGATAACTACTAGGCTCTGAATAAGCAATACCAATGCATTAGGGTTTGGGAGCTCTTAATATTTGGGTCATTGCAACATGAATAACAGAGTTAAACAGGGTTTCCACTGTGGCTTCAAATCCTAGTTCAAATAGTTTTGTGAATTAAATAATAAAAGAGTCCTTACAAATTTTGGTCTGCCTAACTCAGCCCAACAAACACCAAACACCAATGTTGTTATCAAACACCGAAATGGGCAGAAGGCACAGATAACGAATATGGGAGATGCTCTTAGAGAACTTCTTTTTGGGTGGGGGGAAGGAGTCAGCAGGTAACCTACACTACTACACAACCACATTACAAGGCAAAATGTGGTGAAACTATAGGAAGCATTAGAGACACAAAGTTAATTCTGACTAAGGAAATGAGTACAGAGTTCCCTGGAGGACATATTTGCAGAAGTGAAGGCTTAAAAGGATGATAGGTCATTCTGGACAAGACCCACAGCAAAAGTGTAAGTGAAAGCAGCTCTACAGATGTGTTTGTGTGCATGGGGGGAAGGGGGTGACAAGGGGAGGGGGAAACATTCACTAAACAGTCTGCGACCACATTGGGGGGTCAAGGGCATGTGCGCTGTGCTGAAATGTTTGACCAGCTGTTTGGGCGATGGAGAGCGGCCCAAGGTTTCCAGACAAGACAGTGACACAGTCAGAACTAGAGCCAAGGAAGCCCACTCTCGTGGCAGTGTGAAGAAGCAGATGGAGAAGCTATTTTAATCCGCGAAGGAAGAAGTCACAGCAAGAAGAGGGAATGGCCCCACTGTCACAGCCACACAGGCAGGCAGAGAAGTTTACACTACTTTTTCCCCTCTTCCAATGTGACTTTCTGCTCTCTCCACACCTATCTTTTAGGGGAAAGGTGAGAACCCGGTTTTTAACACCGATCAGAACAACATTCTCAACCCACTACAATTTTTAGACGAGTTTTTAACAATGACTTGCCATGTCAGCCTGGTGAAGCTTATCTCAAGTTCTAACGCACGCTCACTTATAAAACAAACTGGAAAATGTGATCTACGGAGCCGCAGTCACTATTTTCGCCTCGTACAACCAAATAATTTAGTCTGAGAGACAATCCTTGTACTTAGGGCAGCCACAACATTAACACAAATTAGAGCCCTCAAGAGAAACTGAACTGGGGGCTGTTTTTTTTCTTATAAAGGAAGGATGGGGGAGGGGGCTCCAGATCTACAGGGCTGGGCCCAGGGTACAAAGCAATCTGCATTTCCATTTCCCTTTGGATCAAACACTTCTGAAACCATTCCCCAGTCATTTCCAAGCAGCCCTTTTCCAAGTTGAAGGTTGTAAACACGTGTCCCTCCCCGCCCCCCTAGCCTTACTTTTCCTTACTTTTCCTTAGTTAAGTCTTCCCTAACAAAGCAATAGCAGGCAACAGAGAGCACCAGCCTAGAACCCTAAAATATGACCTGAATACATTATTTGCCTCATCTGTAAGTGATGAGACTAAGTGTTGGACTAAGTGCTGGGACTCTGATGTTCCTTCTAGCTCTAAAATTGTCAGTTTTGATAATGTTCTTGGATCCTCTGGCTTCCTCCAAATTCTTTCAACAGGCGCATAATAAAAACCCAGGGAACAGAGGATCAATCTGGCTTCCAGATCCTCTTGCCCTACTATGCTCAGACTTCCAAAGGAGGTCCAGCCTGTTGATGCTGATTATCCTCTAAAAGGGAAAAAGAAAAACTTATTTTTTAATTCCTTGCAGGAAAGGCACTAAGGACTGGAATAAGAGAACCAAGATAAAATTGCAGCAAATGGACTACAATATGGAATTCCAGAAGTCCAATGCTCCTTTGGACTTCTTTTATAATAACTAAAAAATGTGGTTAGTCTTAGACAATGACATAGTATTTATCAGTGCCCAAAGTGTACAACATGCTTTATGCTGTTTGCTTTTTTTCTCTTCCAGCTGACTTCTTGCTCTTTCTAGACCTGTCCTTCTGGAGGAAATACAAGAATCTGGTTTTGAAGACAGACCCTTTCTTGAGAGTTCCTATAATCTTCCCCCTTGATGAGAATCCCAGGGACAGAGGTTACTACTCCCATCATGGCTCACTACCAGCTCCCACTTGACACATTACAGAAGTAACACTTAGGACTTAACACTGAGTATCAACTGAGACCAGAAAATGACTGAGGGCCACAAAAGCAAGGAGAATGGACTGATTTCCCCCTTTAGGGTCTCAGCTTCCCCCTCTATAATGACTTTACCATTTAGATGATTGCCAAGGACACTGTTTCTATAAGCCACGGTCATCTACCAATTCAAGTCTCCCTCCCCCCAGGAGGACGGACCTCAGATAAGTATTTGGGACCAACTATGTGTCAGACTTCATGCTAAGTGAGCTGCGACAGCCATGAAAAACAAAAAGGTCCCATACAACAGGCATGTGCTATGGAAAGAGGGGAGGAAAGGTAATCCTAAAAGAACACGGAAAGCTTCCTCAAAGGGCTGGGCTTTTGCTTTTAAGTACTATTTGGGAAAAAAAAAATGCATTCAGCCTGGGGCAAATGCCACATCAGCTTTTGGGGCCTAACGCTGCCAGATTCCCAGCCCCGGGAGCTAGAGACAGGAGATTAAGTTGATCAATAAAGAAGTTTCCGATCGCCAGCGGCGGGGTCCGGGCCCCACGCGCCAAGGGAGTCCAGACCTGGAGGGAAAAATGCGAAGCCAAAATGGAGGAGGGGCTGGAGGAGTCCGCTCGGGCGCGAGAACCTCGTGGCTCGCTCCTCATGGCGCCAAGCAGCCTTCCTGCTCTGCTCTCCGGGGCCCTGGGAGGCAGCATCCCACGTCGCCAGACGCGGCGCGCACAGCCCCGGCCCGCAGGCTCGGCTGGTGGAGGGAGCCCGTGCTCCCGCCGCACCCCGAGGTCGCCAACCGCCCCGGGAAACAAGCACCCACATCTCAGGGGCATCAGGGGAGCAGAGAAAGAAACATCTGGGAGGACTCCACCCTTCACCTGCAGAAAAAGCCCCAGGAAAGCTAAAAAGCCATTTCCCTAGTTTCTCCTTGCCTGGCCGATAAAACAAAGAAAAGCACGTAGGGGAGTCGGACACCCAGAGGATGACCCCTTTCCGTGGACCCAAGACGCGCAAGCCCGGGACACCGAGGGGCCTGGAGCCGGTGCAACTTTCTCATTGAAGCCGGCCACGTTTCCTCTCGGAACCGCGGGACACCAGAAGCCCCGGCGATTAGCATTCCGTTGATGTCACCGCACCTAGCCGGCGCTCGGGATTTTCCCCAGAAAGCCCTGCAATCCCCAGCCCACGACCGGCTCCCGGCCCCGGGACGCCGCCTCGCGCGTCCTCGCAGCCCGCCGGGTCCGGCTCCCCGGCTCGCCCCGTCCCGGGTCCCCGGGACCTCCGGGCGGGGCTGGGGGGTGGGGGGCGCACCGGGGGCTCGCCGGCGACCGTGCCTAAAGCCCTCTCCCCCACCGTCCGACCCGCGGAGTAAGCATCCGCCTTCCCGGCCGGTGCCCCCATAGGAGCCGGGCCACGAGTTACCGCAGCGGAGAAGAAGAGCGAGCGGGAGCGCGCCAGCCCCGCGACCGGTGGTCGGCGGCAGCCCCCTCCCCGGGCCCGCGAGGACCGGAACCCCCGCCCCCCGGCCGCCCGCCCGGCCGCCCGCCCGGTCCGCAGTCGGAGCGGGGAAGACCGGGCGCTGGAGCGCGGCCAGGAGCGGAGGCGCGCGGGCCACGCGGTGGCTGCAGCAACTGACACGGCCCGCGGCCGAGCCACATGCTCCGCCGCCCGGGCCCCGCAGCGCGGCGCCGCGACCCCGCCGTACCTTGCCGCTGGCCGTGCCCCCGCTGACGCCGATCAGGAAGGGCTCGCCGCCGTTGGGCTGCTGGTGGTTCTGCAGGGTCTGCTCGCTGTCCCCCGCCATGGCTGGCGCCGCCCCTCCTCCCGCTGCTGCCGACCGACGCACGCTCCCCGCCCGCGCCCGCGTCGGGCTCCCCCGCTCCCCGCGGCCGCCGCTGGGCGCTGCCCGGCTGCCTGTGAGCTGCCCGGAGCTCGGCCGTGGGGCTGCCTTTCCCGGAGGCGCCGACAGCCTGCCTCTGCCCGCAGCGGCCGGCTCGGTTTACAGCCCGGGCGGGGGTCAGCGTGATGCCGCTGCTCCAATCCGGGCGGGCAGCGCGCTGCTATTCGCCGAGGCGGAGGCGGCGAGGCGTCCGGCCCCAGCCTCCGCCCCGCCCCGGCCCCGCCGCCGCCCGAGGTCTCCCGGAGAGGTGTGAGCCCAGCCCTCCGTCCCCTCCCCCTCCGCCCTCCGCCGGGTTAACCCTTTCCCCGGGTACCTCCGGCCGACCCAGGGCAGAGAAACACGCGCTCGGCGCTTTAATTGGGTGCGCTGCCCCCCTCTTTCAAAGGGGCCACAGAGCTAGCAGGGCGGAAAGCCAACGCCCCAGGTTTGGGAAGCAAAATTCGAACAAGCATGGAAGGTTAAGACGAAGCAAAGAGTTAAGGTCATTTGCCCATTATTCAGGCTAAAAACTTGTGTTTTCCCCAAATGAAAAAATTTCCCCCGCCCGTTTGCCAAAATATGTCAGACTCTGGCTTTAAATATTTCCTCTCTTGGAAACACCATCCTTCTTAGTAGGCGACTCCCTAGAGTCCTTGTCCCTAGAGAAGGGTATTGGGGGTGGGTAGTATCTGAAGGGCGCGCTCACTCCAAAAAGCAAGGCCCTTTCAAACCATAGTTTGAAATCACAAAGACTGAGGTTCCTGTGGAATTAGGATTTATGGAAACATTGAAATAGTAATTAATGCCATTTTGACCCATTAATACCCTTAAGTGAACTGGTTTTTCAGAGATGGGCCATTAGTGATTTGATGAGAAAGGCCGGATTCAACGGGAACTCAGAGCAGCCGCCACCTCTGGGCGGATTTCTCCATTCACATGCATCAGTGTTCTCATCTGTTACATGGGAATAATAATGGCACCTCCGTCCTAGGATTGTTGCATTAAATGAATTCTTACAGATAAAGTTCTTAGAATAGGGGCGCCTAGGTGGCTCAGTTCTTGAGCATCTGCCTTCCACTGGGGTCATGATCCCAGTGTCCTGGAATGGAGCCCCCGCATCAGGCTCTTGCTTAGCCCTCTCCCACTCCCCCCTGCTTGTGTTCCCTCTCTCGCAGTCTCTCTCTGCCAAATAAATAAAATCTTAAAAAAAAAAAAAAAAGTTCTTAAGATAGCTGCTGTCACAGTCTAGGCCCTATGCAAGAGATGGAAGAAAACAGGCTCCTACAAGGCTGGGACCCCAGAGGGAACTTTTGTTGGGGTACAGAGGGGGAGAGGTAGGACTAGATCAGTAGCTTCTGGCCTCTGGCCCTGTGAATCTGGAACTGATGAGCTGATGTGTTCCTGCATGCTAAAAGAGAGCTTAAGTCAACAGCATTATTTTCAAACTTAGGTACCTTAAATTCAGAATTTTTTAATTGCTAAAGAAAATTAAGAACATTAGAAAGCACCAATGTTCTTTTCACTTCTGAAATATTTCGTGTCCCCACCCAAAACCAAACTGCACAGAAGCTCAGACAGGAGGCTAAGATGGAGAGAGTTGGCTACCTGGTTGGGAGAGGTCAGCTAGAAGGAGGGAGCCTTACCACATGGCTGTGGGTTGGGTGGGTTTTAGTGGACTCATAAGGCTGCCTCTTCTCCCCAATGTCTTTTCTCCACTAAAGAGATCTAACAGTCTTCAGAGAATTTTGCAGAGCTCTTTATAGCCCAAGATAAAGCCTGTTGGAACTTGGACAACGGGATGGACCCAGAGCTAAGGAGATAGAAAAAGAAGAGGAGGGTAAGATAATGCCGCATCCTTTATGAACTTTGCCCCAATCTCCACCTTCCTTCTTTCTCTAGCTTTTTTTACATGATATTTCATCACAAAATTTTTCAAACATTGAAAAAAAATTTTTTTCAAACATTGAAATATTTTACAGTAAACACTGATATAACCACCAACTGGATTCTGCCGTGAACACTGGACCATACTTATCACACTAGTAATCTACCCATCCCTCTATCTGGCACATTTTGCCTGGAGTACTTTTTTGCCTTTCCCTTGTTCATTGGAAGTGGCTTACTCCAAACTGGTTTATACTTTCCTTGTTTTTATTTATTATTTTTTTTTAATTACTATATTCCCAGCACCTAGAACAGTTTCTGGCACATGTAAGGCCTTCACAAATATTTGTCGAACAAATGAAGAAACGCCATGTTTCGTTTCCACATTCCCGAGGCCCACTGAGCAGAAAGGCAGGCCGGCAGGAAGCACTTATGACGTGTTCACTGAGAATGAATCAATGAAGACTACAGAAGAGGTCAAAAGTACCAACAAGTAAAGTTCACTGCCACCATTTTGGAATGAAAGGTGGTATTCCCTAGATGGTATTTACATGGTTACTACTCTTAATTCCAAATATTCTCTTTTCCTGGCATTCCAAGTGACTGTCTACCACCGGTCTTGATTATGCGTCTGTGAACTCCTTGAACCAACCCATTAACTGAGCTAACTCGTTACACTTATCTGTACCTTGTTTAAAGATTTTATTTATTCATTTCAAGATTTTATTTATTTCTTTAATGTAATCTCTACTCCCAATGTGGGGCTTGAACTCACAGCCTCAACCAAGATCAAGAGTCACATGTGGTACCGAGCCAGCCACGCACCCCTTCTGTACCTTGTTTAATAATTCTGGCCTCTGTGCGTAAGTTAATATACATGAAAGTGCCCTGAAAAAAAAAAAACACAAAAAAACAAAAAAACCCTCACAAGCTGTCTATATAAAGGTAAGGCCTGATTAGCAAGGACACCCAGCTGCACTCTGCACTCCTGTTTTCACTCTATTCTGTCCCTAGGGCTGCCTTACCTACAGGTAAGGAAGTTACCCTAGTCCATTTAAATTAAGAGTATCCCGAGCACTGGTGACCTCGACAAGGACTTTTGCATCTCTGCTCTCTATAAAGCCAGCCAGGCTGTCTGTGCTATTCCCTGTGCTGTGTCATCCTCTCTCAGGAGCCTGGTCACCAAATCCCATAGCTGGGGACGTTCAAAGCACATTTGAGTCTCCTAGAGAAATTCCACTGCAGATTCTGAATTAAGTGACTTCCAACTGTCCTCCCTCCCCTCCCACCAGGAAAAAAATCAAATGTGTTCAATAAAATCCAGAGTTAGAATAGATTCAAGGAAATACTATTTTCTAGGTATCTGTGATCATTTTCATTTATATCTAGATTTCCGTCTGATCAAGTTCTGGCCTAGTCCACATGAGGCAATGAAATCAGCATGAGTGTGCAGCTGTAGCCGAAGAACGAGAGACAGGGCCGCTCACAGGCCTCATCTGCCTGCCTTCCCTCTCAGTGGTTGTAGGTCTTCACCAGACAGGGAACCCTACATTTTATCTCCGTTGGAAAAGTTCTACCTCTAGGTGCCTCACAAACCATGGCTAATTCTCTAATTGCTTATCCCATTTCCAAGCCAGAAAAAAAAAAAAAAAAAGTTTATCAAAACTTTAGCTTGTCTCTGAAACATTGTAGTTGCCTGTATTGCCTTTTATCAATCAGTAATTGCTTGGACAGATCGTAAATACTATTCTGAAAAGATGACCAGGTGATACAGGGAAGCTGCTTACATCTAGCTCTGTGATCTTAATCACATTCTTAGATGCTGTTGGCTGCCAAGATGGAGCCGGCTCAAACCCCAGCAACAGCAGCAGCAGCAGCAGCAGCTGGGAATTCAGAAGTTTGGACCCCATCCCACAGCTAAAGAATCCAAAACTTCATGGGCGGAGCCCAGCAATCTGGGTTGGATAAGCCCTCCTGGTACCTCTTAGCACCCACCTAAGGTTGAGAATCACTGATGTAGTGGAAAGAAGACAATGACCTCTAGTTGGGAAGGCAAGGTTTACACCCCTGCTTTGTTGCTACTTTGTAACCTTTGGCAAGTTACTTCATTTCTATGGACTTCAGTTTCTTCAACCTTTAAATGAACAGGGCTTGTAGGATGCTTGCAACAATAGTCTATCTGGGTCTACAGCAGTTGTCAAATGCCATTTCTCTCCCCTTCTATTCAATCACAGATCACAGCTCTTCCCGTAGAAGTCCCACCATTTAGGGATTAGGAGCTCCAAAGATAAGAATTCCTAATCCCCAAGGTCACTTTAAGGTAAAAAAAAAAAAAAAAAAAAAGGTAATATCCAGAACACGCAAATCTACAGATAGAAAGTAGATTGGTAGTTGCCTACAGCTAGGGAGGTTAGGAAGGAAATGGGGCGTGGCTGCTGAAAGAGTCCAGGATTTCTTTTTATTTATTTATTTATTCAAATAGCCTCCACGCCCAAAGTGGGGCTTGAACTCAAGATGCTGACATCAACAGTCAGTGTTCTACTGATGGAGTCAGCCAGGTGCCCCCAGGATTTCTTTTTAATTTTTTAAATTTTTTAAAGATTTATTTACTTATTCTTTTAGAGAAAGAATGCAGGGAAGAGCAGAGGAAGGGCAGGAGAATCTTGAGCAGACTCCCTCCGGGGTGCAGAGCCCGATGTGGGGTTCCTTCTCACAACCCTGAGATCACGACCTGAGCCAAAATCAGGAGTCTGCATATAACTCACTGAGCTACCCAGGCATCCCTCTCTTTATTCTTCTTTTTAAAATTTCTTTTAGAGAGACAGGGAGAGCACAAGGAGGGGGTGGGAGAGAGGGAGAGAAGCTTAAGCAGGCTTCATGCTCAGCATGGGTCCCAATATGGGGCTTTGTCCCATGACCCGGAAATCATGACCTGAGCCAAAATCAAGAGTCAGATGCTTAACTGATTGAGCCACCCATGTGTCCCCCTCTTTTTAGGTAAATGTTCTAAAATTGACTATCTTAGTGGTTGCACAACTTTGATTTTCATAAGAACCACTGAATTGTAGAATTTATATTGATGAATTATATGGTATGTGAATTGTATCTCAATAAAGCTGTTTAAAAAATAGGTTTCAACCAGTAGGCTAGAAGAGGAAAGAGATTTTTAGGAACTGGGAGCAGAAATGAGCAAAGGCACAGAGAGAC